CAGGATAGCTGGCTCTCCCTATACCAGCGGATTCAGGTATCTTGCGTGGTAGATTCAAACAAAGCTGGGCCTCACTGTTTCATCCTGCAGCGGCATAGTAGCGGGAGTGCTAGCAAACGCAAAACGTGCCCGCGCGGTAGCTTGGTCGGCGATCTGCCCACGATCGTTGGAGCGACGGAGTGGAAACGGCGGTGGAAGTTTGTCCCCACCCAAACTGATTTTCTACATACGCTTTTGAGTATTTTATATGATGGCATGCTAAGCGCATATACATGAGCGCAATCGGCGAATCGCACGGTAAATGTTTATCCAATATCGGTAGTTGCGAAACTCACCGGGCAACCCTGTCCTCATCTTATCTGGAACCGCCCATGGCAAATTCTGCAAAGGCAGGGGCATCTTTGGACATCATTCAAAGGGAAGGGTGGGACTGCACTGGTCTATAGCGCGTAGGCGCGCCTGTAACACCCTATTGCCGCGTAATTCCCTTCAGAAAGGACGGGTACAGCGTTCAAGGAGAACATGTCCCACGCCTTCATGTCCACAGCCCCACGCCACTGCGTACGTCCAAAAGCTGCAATTATTACGTGTCCAGGCTCAGAAAATGCGAATACAGAGCAAAATTAGATTTTAAAAGTGTAAACGTTCCGTAGTATTTGGTACCCCTTTCTTCAATGTGTGGGATCGCTATTGCACTCGCTTGGACGAAATATGTGGCATATGCTATAAACTCTCATATCAGCATCTTCCGATGCTACCAAAATGCAAAATATCGTTCAAATAATTTGCTGCATCCAGTAGAATGCAGCATGTGTTTTCTGCACTTATTTGCTTTGTATATTCGTCTACGACACAGTTTTCGAAATTTGTGCTAAAAGAAATGTAGCTCATGCCGCGAACAATTCAATGTCGTTTTCCGGGGTGAAATCGGCCAGTTGGTTGCCGAGGTACGCTTGGGGTTCAATGGCCCCTCGTTTTCCTACATAGATTTATATTTGATTTACAGATTTATTTCTTTTTTTCGATACAGAGACAGGGTAAATCAAATCTGAGATATATGACGTTTTTTACCGCAGCGTTGACAGGCAAGTGCGATTCATTGTACTGCAAAATAATGAAAAGAAATAAAAGTTTTACATCTCTGGGTCTGCTATTCTGTAGAAGCTCGATCAGTCGCTGATTGCCTGACAGCAAGTCAGTGCCGTCGTGCCTCTGGAGGCGAAACACCTAGCAGGAAAGCCACATCACACTGAAAGACACAGATAACTTTATTTACAGACCCATGGTCTTTTAATCAATACACACACTTGAACTCAGGGATATACACCACACCCCGGATCGCCGAGATATGTGCCAGAACACCAGGCGTGAGCTACGAAGCAATTCCGCGGTCTGGTGCCTGAAGATTCGCACACCGTCTTCCTGTATGGCGCATGAAAGCTTTCGAAGCAGCCGCCAGATTGCGCAGTTTGGCAGAAGGCAAACAGCGTAGCCCCAGCGGACTTTGAGTGATAGGTACCATAAATGGATGCGTACGCAGAAGACCACGGCTCTATCGCCGACCACAGTGCACTTGCATTTGCAAAACTGCTCAGCTTCAAGAAGTCATTCACTTTCAGTACGGTGCCACGTGGTGTCTTGACGCCATGCGGTCGTCATGACAACGCTAGAGGCCTTCACGGGTGCTGTTTCCTTTACCTAACCCGTCCACCACCCACGGGGCTCTGGTCATACCTGCCCACAACCCATTCCCTATCAGTTGTACTTGCCCGTTACCTGTCTGTTTTCAGCTTGTCATTTTAGTTATAACTTTGGAAGGGTTTAAGGAATGTTTGCACCCAAGCTATCATTCCTTTTGCTTCGATTGTTGTAGGAGAAAAGTGAATAAACTGCATTATGACAAACATAAATGCAATCAGCAACATTGTGCAGTATTTCTTGAAGCATTTAAACGAGAGTTCATAAATTGTTTGCTCACCCCGTGCCAATGTCCGTAATTTTTCAGAAATGTTTACCCAACCAGTCTGTTGCCCATTCCATGTGGCAACTCATGGGTTTACCCAACCCGTGATGTCCTCTAGACAGCATGCTCTACGGCCGTGCCCAGGCGCTCGACACTGTACTCAGCCCGCACACGGAGGTCGTCCCTGCCTCCGGCCACCTAGCGGCAAGCTGTGACACCTCAGCCACGCAGGACGGCCACCACGAGCGCCAAGAGCGACGCCGAGGCCCGCACAAGCCCGGCGTCCGAGACGGAGGGCGGCGCGGGCTGCTCGCCGCCCCCTGACAGTCCGAGCTTCCTTCCGAGCCCTCTCTCCGGGGCGCAGCCGTCGGCGAACGCCAGGAACGACCCCTTATCGCCCAGGCACTCGGCAGAGCGCAGAGCGTCGCTGAACAGGCTGCGCAACAGCGGGTCCGACGCGTCGTCGAGCGCCAATGCCACCAGTTCCTGGGTGGCCTGGCAGTCGCAACAGCTGCATTCGTACACGTCGGGCACCTCGCCACCGTCTGCACTGGGCTCGAACGGACCGCGCAGCCCCAGGAAGCTTGGCGACAGGGGCGCGATGGTCCCCACGTTGCCGCCCAACGTGATCAAGGCGGGCTCGTCGGCCTCGTTGTTGACGAAGAGCGCCTCGCTGCGTACATCCTCCAGCTGGTTATCGGTGAACTGCAGCTGGTTGGCGCAGGCGGCGCGTAGGGTGATGTTGAAGGCGCCCGGGTAGAGCTCTCGGAGGTTGTTGCCGGATGCCACGAAGCGCTGCACCGGACCGACGCGAATGGCGTTCAGCGCGATTGTCGTGACGGAGTTGTTGGCAAAGACAAACGAGGCGACGGCGTGACTGTCGAGCGGCAGCGCATCGCAGCTGCTGTCCATGCCCTCCTCGTCGGCGTCCACCACGATGGCGCCGCCCTGCACGGTGTGCATCTGCGATCTGACGATCCGCAGGTGGCGCAGCTGAGGCGTGCGCGACACGGCATTAACCCGGATGAAGCCGATCTCGCAGTCGGCGATGGTCAGCCGGCGCAGGCTCGGCAGGTCATACAGCGCGGCCGAGTAGAACGTCGTCGCCGACACGCCGAGCAGGGACACGTGGCTGAGGCGCGGCAGGGTCCTCAGCGCGCTGCTTCGCAGGCCCCTGGGCATCCTCGAGTACTCCACGTGCAGCCTCTCCAGCGGGTGGCCGGTCGGCAGCCTACTGACCGGCGCCGGTGACAGCTCCAGCTGCACTCCCGATATGTTGACGGAGCGCACGCGCACCAGCACGAAGTCGCTGTCGGCCGGCGTCCTTTCCAGCAAGGCGAAGGAGACGGTGATCACGTCAGAGGTGAGCTGATCGTTGTCGGTGCAACCGAGGATCGTCAGGTGGTTAATGGGGCTCGAATCCACCTGCGGAAGACGACGTACAGTGAATATTGAAGCTTGGGTGTCATACTTTGCTTTGCGTAGCATTGAACTGGCAGCACTCTGGATGTCCCGATCTGTCCCATGTGGAGTCACCAGGTTATGGGCTGTAGATTTATCACAAGCTAGGTTTTGGCGTCACTCACTTTCATTAACGTAAGACATTGCGACACTTATGACCGCAGCCGTCGCACTGCCGGCACGGCATCCAAGCACGCTTTATCCTGCTGTTATCTTCGCTGTTACGGCGAAGACCTGGTTACACATTTGGAGAAAGTCTCGAGCTTGCATCTTCCTAGATGCAAGTCAAGCACGCCCTCTACGGCACCTGCGTGACTTATGGTAACATCCCCTGCGGGCATACAAATGGCTGGGAGGGCTGCCAGTGGTGTTACTGTTTCACTGCTTTTGTGGGTGATCGGGAAAATCCCGCCGGTACCCACCACACCAAGCGGACTCGCCGCCGCTGCTCTTGCAGCCCGGCGTCTAGTCACAAGGCCGCGGCGTCCAAAGTTTGGGGTGGTGTGGAATTCGGAGCGGATATTAGATATTGGCTGGATATTGGATACTGGATTTTGGCTTTTGGATGATTTAACTCTTTTCTCTGCTAGAAGTGCAACGGCGAAGCAAGGCACTGCCCGTTTGTTTGCCTGTCTGCTGTGTCGAAGAAGGCCACCCGCAGGCTTTGCATGAATTTATCTCACAGTAAGAGACTCATACACCGCATGTCATTCGTGAAAGCCCCTATCGACCACACGGCTCAAATGTCCTGTGCCAAACTAACGCATGGTGACTTGCCGAACCAGCAATTCACTCGAGGAAAAGCCAGTGTAGGTTAAGGAAAGCCTGACATGTCCAATATTTCCCAACCGATTTGAGAAATACTTGCGGTTTTCTAAGTATTACCCGATCGAGCTCCTGTCACCGGTCATCGCTTGAGAAAACTTAACATATCCCCGATTTCCTCCGATCCTCAGCGTTGGGATTTGCTTGGGGAAGTCCTTTTTCAGTCAGCAATCGTCAAAGGCAGCGCTGGAAAGGCTTCGAGCATCTCGCTTGTAAACACCTTGGGAAACAGTCCAAAATAAGTTGGGAATCCAAGCCACAGTGTCTTATTTTCGTAGTTGATCCAAAGCACTCCACAACCGTAAAGTTGAGATGGCCGGGATATCCCGTTTGGGATCGGACAGAAGTTGGTGACTGGGTGGACATGGATCGCGTCGCGTCCGTGACATAAACGAGACTGCGTCGCCTGGCTAGGCGGCCCTGACCGCCGTCGGATCTCAGTCAGCCCGAACCACCGGACTGTATGTGAGACGCGTCGCGCTCTGGTCCACACACGAGACAGCGCATAGGCTGGTTTAGCAAAATATCTTTTACAAATTCGCTACCTCTAAATTCCTTAAAACGTGCCAATAAAAGTTGGTTGAATTTATTTTCGTATAGAGTGAACGGCTTCCTGGATCAAATGGACGCAGTATCAACCTCAGTGCAGAACTAACGCCATATTGCAGCGCTCTGTTGAAATATAATATTACGCCTGCACTTCGATAGTAATATTCCGAAAGCATAATGCTCCGTAAATTTCCTACCGAATGGAGATGAGTTCACACTTTGCTACGCGAGCGATACGAATCGCTGTTAAAAGTACGATTCCCCGCGGTGCCCGCCCTTCCTGCCAGGGTGAGAGGCAAGCGACGTCATATAGCCTCAGCAGCTGAGTGCGTCGTAAAGCTCCAATGACATGGCAATCGCTGTTAAGTTGGCTTGGCACCCGCCTTGCCGCCAGTGACGTAAGCTGGAGGCTGGCCGGCCGGCGGCCGCGCCAGCCGCATAGACTGTGCCGCAGGGCATGCCCGGCGGCCCTGACCGCTGACGGATCTTATCGACCCGGATCACCAAACTGTATGTGAGATGCGTCGTGCTCTGGTCCACGCACGAGACAGCGCGTAGACGAGTGGCCGTGGGACGCGTCGTGCTCTGGTCCACGCACGACACAGCACCCAGACGGGTGGCCGTGGGACGCGTCGTGCTCTGGTCCACGTACGAGACAGCGCGTAGACGAGTGGCCATGGGACGCGTCGTGCTCTGGTCCACGCACGACACAGTACCCAGATGGGTGGCCGTGGGGCGCGTCGTGCTCTGGTCCACGCACGACACAGCACCCAGACGGGTGGCCGTGGGACGCGTCGTGCTCTGCTTTACGCGCGAGATAGCGTGTAGACGGGCGGCCAGTAGCTAGCTTTGAATTATGATATTTGTTAAAACTGGTTGCCACCCATGCCAAGTGGTCGAGCCCGACTAAGCCGTCCATAAGCGTCCAGCAAACAGGCATGCCTGGAGACCGCGCCGACTGCGGCCAGCACAGCTCGGTGCACTCTGCTTTGAGGTCGATCCAGTTCAACGAGCGGGACAGCTCGCCGTTTGCGCCGCATGCTGAAGGAGCCTCGCCAAAAGTACGCACCTACAGAGTGACCTTTGGAAGGCTCGGGTACAAATGCTGTAGATGTCGCACTTCATCAAATTTGTTGCACCATCAATACCCGTGACTATGATGATGTCACAAAGAGACTATCACAAATTTGCAACCGTCATCAGACAAGAGGGTGCAGCAATGAGAACAACCACGTGGCAGCCATGAAGGTGCCGTGGTAACAAAGGCGCATTTTAGGTAACGAAAACTATCGTCACGGTCTTTGAACCCTGCGAGATGAGCTTTAAAAATGTCTGCTTTGCACCCACTGCTGGCATCTTGTCCTGTCACCTGCTGTCAGCACCCCCTGCTGGCAGTGCACCCCTCTACCCGCTTCCGCACCCATCAGCACCCAATGCTGGTATCTCACCCTCTCACCTTCTGCTGCACCGACTGGCCGCACGTGCACGTGACGTTGACGCCCTGATCGTCGTCGCCGACGATGCGACAGCCGCCGGGGTACAGGCTGTCCTGTGCGCTGACGACCCGGGGTCGGGCCAGCGCGCAGACAAGCAGCAGCAGCCAGGTGAGCATGGTGAGCGGCAACTGGTGACCACTGGTGGCGGAAGCGACCTCAGCGACGGAGCGGCGGGATCTGGCGCCAGACGGACGGCACCGAGCCGGGGAACGCGCTGCTCCGCCGCAACCGAGCGGAAGGGGAGGGGGGACTCGGGCCGGCCACTTCCGATGGTGAGAGTGCAGCGTTCGGCGAAGCTGGCCGCAGGCGGCCGGGACGTCTCCGATCGTCCGGTGCTGTGGTGAGGTCGGCGACAGATAGCAGGCGGCGCTCCGCGGGCGCCGAATCGAGCGGCGGCAGGCCTCGCCGCGCGGCGGCAGGATGGCCGCGGCGGCATATCGGCCAAACGGCGGCCAACACGCGGCTGATGGCACCGGTGCCGGTTCATTCCTCGCTTCGGAGGTGTGGAGGGTGGCACCGTGACATGGGGAGCCTGCTTCTAGAAACGGAAGTCCAGCAAATAGTTTGCAACAAATCTCAGTGGTGTTTCACCAAAGATGTGGAGTTTGGGAATTCTCACATGAGCTGGCGGGGTTGGGTCAACATAGCAGTTCTTCTCTCGACCACATCGATCCGACGCCAACACGTTTTACCCAGAACTACACGCGACACAATAGTCTAACGAGCAACCGAACTTGCGCTTTATAACCCATCCATGGTCACCTATTTAGAGACCGTGCCTTCGCAAGCTAGAAAAAACCCACTGTGAGAGGTATATGATGACTACAAAGCGCATTCAACGCAGCTTACTTGAAGCATACGCATGAGGCAGACTGCGCGAAACATTACTCATGCGTTTCCAGTACGGACGGGGCCTGTGAGGTCACGCTCCAGGATTGCTGATGGCGATGGTAAAAACCCAAGCCGGGCTGCCCCGTCCCGCAAGAACTCAGCGATATTGGTGCTCCTGTTCCTTCACCTCTCTCAGACGCTTCATTTACAATTTTCTGACTACGGTGCGGTCACAAATGTCCCCCATAAACCTAACATTTCCTGCAGAGGTCACGCCCAAACGACACGCCCCGTCCTCCAGAGCGGATGGATTCGTGCACCTCCTGGTCCGGTCGTCGGCCTGGTCCGCGGATCACCTCCTGGTCCGGTCCCCGGCCTGCTCCGGGACCACCTCCCGGTCTGGTCCGGGGACCACCTCCCTGGTCCGGTTCCCGGCTTGGTCCGCGGACCACCTCCTGGTCCGGTCCCCGGCCTGCTCCGGGACCACCTCCTGGTCTGGTCCGGGGACCACCTCACTGGTCCGTTTCCCGGTTTGCTCCGGGGACCACCCTCTGGTCCGGTTTGCGGTCTGCTCCGGGGACCATCCCCTGGTCCGGTCTCCGGCCTGGTCTGGGGACCACTGCCGACCACGCCGGCCGGACCGCCACGGATCGCTGCGGGGGAGTCGATGCGGCCGTTACGCGAGAGACAGTATGTTCCCTCGGTCAAAGGCTGGCTGCTCCTGTCGAGGCGGAAAGCTGGAGAGGCCGCTTGCGATGGTCAGGTGGCTACCGTACCGCTCTGCTTCTCAAGCTTGCGATGGTCAGGTGGCCGCCGTGCTGCTCTGCTTCTCAAGCTTGCGATGGTCAGGTGGCCACCGTGCTGCTCTGCTTCTCAAGCTTGCGATGGTCAGGTGGCTACCGTACTGCTCTGCTTCTCAAACACTTGGCCAACACATGCGCGTTGAGCATATGTGAACGCTCGGGGATGTCCTATCTATTTCATCCTGGATATTCCCAGCCTGGTAAGCACACCGCGGGGCTTCCGCTCCGAGGAAAATCTTCAAAGACCAGTGCGTCGACGCTGCCTGCACACGCCGGCAGTGGATGCAGCAGCAGGTGAGCACGCGAGCTGATGGCAGTGGTTTCAGCAGCAGCACGTGAAAGGGATGGCTGACGGCAGTGGCTGCAGCAACAGGTGAGAGGGCAAACTGGCGGCGGTGGGTGCAGCTGCAGGTGAGAGGGCAAACTGGCGGCGGTGGGTGCAGCAGCAGGTGAGAGGGCAAACTGGTGGCGGTGGGTGCAGCAGCAGGTGAGAGGGCAAACTGGCGGCGGTGGGTGCAGCAGCAGGTGAGAGGGCAAACTGGCGGCGGTGGCTGCAGCAGCAGGTGAGAGGGCAAACTGGCGGCGGTGGGTGCAGCAGCAGGTGAGAGGGCAAACTGGCGACGGTGGGTGCAGCAGCAGGTGAGAGGGCAAACTGGCGGCAGTGGGTGCAGCAGCAGGTGAGAGGGTGTGATGCTGACAACAAGTGGTGGTGGGTGAGGAAGCGGGTACTGGGGGTGCACTGCCAGCATTGGGTGCTAGAAACAGGTGGCGGGACAAGCTGTCTGCGGTGGGTGCCAGGAAAAATGTCATTGGACTCCAGGCTTACCACAGCAAAAGTAATATTTTTCTTTGCTTGGCTTTTTCGAACGGGTGTGTTCGTTAAAGAAAATGCTCCACGTTTGACGATATTAAAACAACCATCACATATGACACTTGCTTTAAGATCATTTAATAAGCTTATTGAAATGAACTTACTTACAACTATTGGTGTACTGTTAGGTGGAGAAGACTGCTTTACACAAAATAATTTTGTTTAATTGATAGTCTCCTCAGTACGACAATGTTTGATTGCGTCATCGTACCTTGCACAATACTGATTGAGATCTACTTGACGGCCGTTATACGTAGAAATTGTGCTCACGAACGCCAGATATGAACGACTCGACGACTCTAATTTCATTGGCCTTCATCGCCGAGTGGCTAATGAAGTGATAGTGTTTGAATGACGTTATTATGGTGTCAAAGTTCTTGGGCGACTTAAAAATAGTGTTCCCGAAATAGCCCGGGCATCTTCGGGGACGTGTGGTTCAGAAACTCGAAGGCTTTCCGTCTTAAGAAGGGCATCCCAGTGAACCTGTGAATCGCACCGAATGATCTTCAAGATAGCTATTTCAGTTCAAAGATCCATACGGATGTGACACATTCTCTTTCATGCCTACAATGCACTTATTCGCCAAAGTTCTGGTGCAATAAATTTTAAGAAGGCTTTGACTACTCCATTTTGCGGAAAATGACGAAGAAACTGATCTCTTCATTATGGCATTCACTCCAGTGACTTTTGGGAGCGCACTTTATCTCAAGGAAACAGACCTATCACATGATATAAAGTGACGTGTTGATTCAAACTTCAACCAATGCCGTTCTCGGCGCATTGTCCTTACGGTCCGCTGTGCCATTCATCAGCGTTCACTTCTACTGGCGTCATTCCTACCAGTAGAGGTGCCACTTTTGGGCCCGCAGGTCCGCAATGTCCGGGTTAAAAGAGCCCAAAAGTGATACAGCTGTAGTTCGTAGTAGTAGTATGTAACAGCTGATGGCGATTCTCAGTCGATTATGCCGTCGGTAGTTATCGCGGACTAGGACTACACCTTGGGGCTATAAAAGTAAAAGAAGTGCAGTGGTGTGACAAATCGGCGACGGCGTAATTTGGACTCGAAAATAATTAAGATGGATCCCCTCATTATCTCCTGATGGTGCTGCAGTGGGACTATCGAAAATGATCATCAGACATATCTGGTCCTCAGGTTTTACCAGAGAAGGTTTCTAAAATATGCCCCAAAAGTGGAACACTTTCGTTCAGAAGGTTATCTTCTGCACTGATCACGACTCCGAAACTTTCAGACATCTGTGCTCATCCATTTTTCGTCGGTGGTGACGTCACAAATGACGTATGACGGAACTCCGGTAAGCAAACCGATTAAGACTCCGCAAACGCATCGCATTTCTGAAAAAGATGGCACTATGTGGTCAAGATAATCCCCTAATGAACGACATAAAACAACATCAAATTGTTAGTACTGCCATTGCATTACTACGATTTTTCACCACAAAACTCGATTTCCCAGTTGGATGACACCTTTGATTCGTTGGAAATACTTATTTGCAGAATAACTGCTCAATTCGACACTGGAAAACAGGACTGGGAAAGTGGGAAGCCTCAATGCACCCGCACAGTGTTAGTGCTATCAGAGCAGGACGGACTGGCGCGGCACGGAGCCTCCGGTCGGCAGGCCCCGTGCGGGACCCAGCCGCCTGCTGTCCGGCACGGCCCGTCCGATGCTACAGGCAGTTGTGGGCCTCCGCTGTGTTGGTCCCGAAAAACGGCTCCAGACAGCTAGAACAAAAATTTCAAAGATATTAGCGTCGCATTTATCAGCCTGCCCCGACAGCCAATGGCATCGGCTGTCTCAGCTGTGGCTCAGTCAGCGGCGTGAGCTTTGCCTGGGCGGTGCGCAGTTGTGATGAGGCGATCATACACTTCAAAACGCAGAATTTGCGTTACACCACTGAACCTGAAGCAAAAAACGGCTATTACGCGGTCGAGACGGTCACCAAGTTGTTTATTGTTGACATCTAGTCAGAAATCCCGTTTCAGAAATCCAGAAAATCCAGTCCTGCGGCGGCTACGTCTTTAGTGGCGTCGAAAGTTCCCCGTCGTCAGGCCCCCACCGCAGACCGCCGGCGGCGCATGACGTGACCAGTGACGCGGGCTAGACGGTGACTCAGTCCCGCGTTGGCTGGGTGGCCGTGTCTCGACTTGAACACTAAGCCTAACAGCGCCAAGATTGAAATGCGTTACAGTTTGGTTTCGCTGGTTTCGTATTTTTATTTCGTTCCCGGCGTCAGTGCTGCCAAAAGATGTCGGTTTCCCTATGCATTCATACAAATTCATGCTCCCCATCTGTCGTGCGTCGTGCGTGGAACGCGATTAAAAATGGAACTTACTCATCTCTAGAATTCCGTTTGGACTCGTTTCCGTATGGCGTGTCGTGTTCTGCTCCGGACGTGGAGACGATGTGAGAACGTGTGTCCCATTGACGCGTCATGTTCTACCGTGGACGTGGAGACGTGTCACTCAGACGTACTGCATTACTCCATCTGGGAGCAAGGCCGGCAGGTGGCGCAGCTCATGATCGACCCCTACCAGAGGTCAGGAGCCCTGACACTCCTCATATTCGACGGCGTTCGACGCATATGTATATATATATATATATATATATATATATATATATATATATATATGCATGTGTGTG